GTGGGGGTAGGGGTGGCCAGGCGCCCAGGGGCTGGCAGGAAGGAGGTACTCCCTCAGGCGGGAACAGGCGGTGAAATGTTGTCCCGCTGCGCGCACGGTCCTCGCCAGGTCGCAGGATAGGAAGTCTTGCAGGGAACGCAAGCCAGTTCGCTGGGATTTGCACCGTGCACTCAGCTCTGCCTCTATAGGAGTTGAGTAGAGACCCGGGTCTGCTGTTTTCTGTTGGCTCGAACTCACATACAAAACCAATTCTATGAGGTGGGGTCCAGGGGAAGGGAAACTTTTTCCTTCCTCGATGCGGGACGCCGCTCTCTTCGCAGAGAAGGGGGAAATTGGGGCGTGGACCCAGGACTTTGACAGCTTCCCAAAGTGACTCCAAGTAACAGTCACCTTCCTATGTAAAAATTTAATTTCTTTCAAAGCGCCTTGGTCCTTGAGGTAAGCGCATGGTCAGAAGTTCAGGTTCTGAAAACTTACTCTGTGGAACTTGGTACCCAGATTTAGCGCCATTGGCCACTCTCCTTGCCACCAAATATTTATCTCTTTCAAGATTAGGAACACACATGTTCTTGATGCAATAAATTCTTTTTTTTTCTTTTTTCCTTTCTTCCTCTCCCCACATCCACCCCTGCCCCCCCCTTTTTTTGTAACCAGTTTGCTGATTTCCAGATTTCCACTCTTTAGAGGGTGAGAAACGGGACAGGATGGAGAAAGGAAAAACAAAGTCAAATAATTCAGGGAAAAGTTCCCTATATCAACAGAAAATAATTCAGTCTTGTAAAAGAGACACATATAGTGACAAGATCATCTGTCTATAGTTATTGAATTTTCTTAATGACTTGATTCTTCGGGGCCAGTTCCACAGTGGACACTCATTTGTTCCTGACAAGACCTCTCTCTGCCCCTTTATGGGGAGAAAATGAAGGTCTGGAACATGTGCTTGTACTGTATCCCACACACAAAAAAGTGAGTTGCTTTTAAGCCTGGGGTGTTTCATAGCACAGCAGTAGTAAACTAATCGGGTTGCCCTGAATATAATGATGAGGTTGCCCTTTTAGAGTGTGTGACTTGCTTAATTGGATTGGGCTGTAATTGGTGCCATCGAATTCTAGAGACAGAGGCACTGTTGTTTTTCCTTCCTGTCTTTGAGCTGGAAGGGTAATAGTGCACAAATTAATTAATTTTGGTTATGGGACTTGAACATAGAAGGGCTTTTTATTGAGGAGCAGCATATGTCCTTCTTATAGTTATTTCTTTAGAACTTTCTGAAGAGTAGAACTCAAACTTGCCAGTGAAAATGAATGAAGCTTAATGGAGCAAAAAAAAGAATGTTGGTCTACAGAAACGAATTCGAACTTATCATTATTGATAGTCTCGTTGCATAGTTTTTTTGTTGTAGATGTGTCTCTAGAATAGTGTGGTTTTGTTTGGCTTCCCATGAATGGAGGGCATATCTTAACTTTCTTTTTAACACAGGAAAGTGTGTCTAGAGTGTGAGATAATCTGTAGCAATAATTTATGAGAGATCTTTAAGAATCTTATTTTGGTGGTGGGGTGAGCAGAGCTTAGTCTTTACTACCATTTTTTTCTCACATGAATATACCCAAATAATGGATTCTTTCTCATTTGGATCATTGTGTGAATTGTATCAAGTTACTGTTTTCCACTTGTTTCTCAACCTAGTGTTTTGCAGTCAATTTTGATATCTGTGCTTGTCCAAATGAATTGTTTTCATTTTCCTTTTTTTTTTTAGACAAAGTTCAACTTCATTATTGGAAGACTTTTCTTTTGCTTTTAAACATTTTGTTTTATTGTTTGCCTACTTTGAGAGTAGTTATTTCCTTCATATTGAAAAGTGCTGTGCTAATTAACTGAACATGACCACCTAGACCAATAACTGTCCAAGAGTGACTCTTAGACCATGTCTGACCAAGTCACCTGAAATGATTGTTTAAATGCAGATTTGTAGGCCCAGGGATATTCTGATACATCCTAAAGCCTAAGAACCATTGTCCCAAACACAGGTCAGAACCAATGCCAATTAGTTTGAGATTTATTGACATAACATAATTTTCAGGGTTTTAAAATATTTTTAATTATTATTATTTTTTACTATGTTATTGATGAACAATCTATAGTTATGTCAGCAACCTATTTTGCACATCTGGGCGAGTATGTGAGAACATGTATGATTAGTTTATTTTGCTTGCAGCTGTTCACATTTGTGTCCACAAATTCAATGCATTGGATATTTGCACTGGATATTTGTTTATACTCTGATTATTTATACTCTCTCATATTTGGGATGTTCTCTTATTTGCACAACAAAGCCAATGCCAGTTTAGGCCTAGGGAGTCATTTGTTCCTAGTTAGGTGCTTACCAAGCATTAATCTTTTTTTTAGGTGGTGTTTGAAGATCTGGATATCAGTTAAGATTGTAACATTATGGACAGTTTTTCTTTCTCTTATGCTTTTTCAACACTTGATAGGTCTTCACATTTAGTTGACAGATAACTCAGTTTTCTTGCTATGGAGCACCCATGGTGGGGAATCTCTCCCATGGTATTTTTAGGAAAAGTCAGGTTTCTTGTGTTCCAAGCTTGATATCAGGAGGAACTCAGAGCTTTTATTATTAAGTTGAGATTTCCCAATTGTAATTCATTAGCATTATGCTTTTTTTAGTTGCATTCTCTGAGAAAGAATATATTAATAGGCATGTAATATGACATTGGAAAATGTTTTCTTTTACTTAATTCTTCTCAACTAGTTTTAATGTACAGTCTTTCAACCTTGGCAATTCAGTTACCAGAGGAAGTGCACTAGAAAATTGATAAAGAAAAAAGAGACAAGGTCATGGATACTCCCAACCCCTTCAGGGTACATAGATGAACTGTATAGAAATAACTCTAAGTAGTATTCATTAATCAGCAATTTAGTCGAATGTGTGCATCCTATGTGTTATAAGAAATGTCAGTGGGTCCTTTCCCAAGGGACTGAGATCATCAGATGAAGGTTCATTTGGTTTCAATGTCCCATATCCTTTTGTAAGACCTTGAAGTTGGCAATGCAGGAAAACAGGAACTCCACCCTAGCTCCATGAATTGCAGAACTGTTGTGTTGGTTTATGACCATCTGCCCATTCTTCCTGTTATGACACAGCTTGTGAACTTTTACTGGGAATGGTGAAAAGTAAATTCACAGTTTTATACAATGAATTGCTGAAGAGGTCTTTTAAAATATGGAGTGTGCATTGTTTATGGAAGGTGTTTCCTATTGGGTCTGACTCAGTGGCAACTATATTCATTTATTTAATTTGTTTCTAGGTTTGCCTGGTATTTCTCTTGATCCACCCAGGCTCAGTGTACAAAAAGACATCCTTACAATTATGGCTAATACAACTCTTCAAATTACTTGCAGGTAAGGAATGATTTCAGATTTATACTTCCTTTGTCAAGTAATTCATTGTTCATTGAGTGAAAAATAATTTCCATACAAGAGAATTATAATAGTTTTATAGTAATTGTTTATAAGTAGTGAGGTTTCTAAGAAATGATGCAGTAATGAAAAAAAATGAGAGAGGTCTTCTCTCAAAAATTCTGGACAATTTTGCTGGCATTTTTTTCTACTGCCCTCTGGCAACAACTCCACACTCCAAAAACTGGTGTAGCACCTGGCATATAATACATAGTAGATAATCAACAGATATTGAATGAGTAAATAAAGTTGAGTGCATACCCTTAAGGGATAGATTTGAAGAAGTTTTAAGCCATATTTATAATACTCAGATTGGCTCTTGGGTATTTATTCAGCCTTTTTTAAGAACTTTATTTTATGGTAAAATTCTGACTTATAGTAGCAATTTAATATGCATCCATTAATATTATTGAGTGCACATTCTGCACAGATAATGAACGTCACACTTCGGCCTGATATTCTGGAATGTCTCTTCTTATTTGTTGGCAAGAACTCATGGTTTTGATTTTTGCTAACTAGGGAAACAGGCCTTTTTGACAAGTAGAGGAAGACTTGAAATTTTGCCTTTCAGCCCCTACCTCAGGGGGAAAAATAGAAGACTCTGGGTTTAATATAATGATTACACAGAATTTTGTCAGGACCAGTGTGTTTTTGGCAGAAGTGATGGTGGGAAGCAATGTTGTCCTCTGAGAAGAGTGCTGGGGGTCCACAAAGAACCTTGGGCAGCTCGTTGCCATTATTTATGCTTGTCGAATACCAAGTGTTTAACACAATGACACAGATCATCTCAGATTGCAGAGTGTAAAAGATACCCTAGTCCTTTATCAAGGGTAGGCCACTGATACCCAGCTCTTGGGGAAAAAAAGCACACTAACAGGTGGTGTTTCTCTAGCTTTGCTATTTTAAGACACATTCTCAGTAGATTTTCCTCTTACCCTTGGTAACAAAGAATATTTAAAATCTTCAAAGATTCCATACTCCTTTTTTAAACTCTGCATAAACATTTCTTACGTCCTGAAAAAGCTATAAATATGTTAAAAGTAACTTCATGAACATAGCTACAACTTCATATAAATTTCAAATTCTTTGAAAGATAGTTCAATGATGTTACATTCTTCTTGACATTGACTGTCTTCCTTTGGACCTTGTCGAGAAATGCTACAATGAAAGTAATCTATGTTTTAATGCACTCTTGACTAGGTCCTAGGTCCTACGATGCTCTTAGACAGTCACACCCCTTTCTTCCTAACTTCACTTCTTATTCTCCCGCTTGCCCACTCTTATCTGGCCATTCTGGCTACCTTGCCATTCCCCTAATGCTCCAGATATGTGCCTGCCCTAAGGCCTTTACCTTTGCTGTTCCTGCTGCCTGGAATATTGTTCCTCTAAATACTCACACGGCCCCTTTCATCAAGTCCCCTCCCTCAAGAACTCTTCACTCTTTTCTTTTTTGCAGCATCTATATTTTGTCCATTGTACTTATCACCATCATTTACAAAATACGTTTTAATTATTTTTTAAATGTCAGCTTTATTGAGGTTTGTTTACTTGTTTATTGCCTGTCTTCTCTAAGTAGACTGAGCTTCCATAAAGACATGGATTTTTGTCTGATTTATTGTTCACTGCTGTATAGCTAGTCTTTAATAATGTTTGCCACATAGCACTTGCTTAATAAATATTTGTTGAATGAATGAATGAGTTAATAGAAAACAAAGGGGTTCCTATAAGTGATTTCTGAAGCTGAATCTGTGGCTTTTGTCATTCGTTGACATAAATTGTCATCTCTGGTAGAAGTCTGTGACTCTGCTGAGGAGTTTATATAAGTTTGAGAACCAAACCTTCTGTTTTCTTAGAAACAACCTCGTAGTGTGGCATTTCACATTAATACTTTCTTGGAATTAATTTTTCAGGGGACAGTGGGACTTGGACTGGCTCTGGCCCAACAATCGGAGTGGCTCTGAGAAAAGAGTGGAGGTGACTGAATGCAGTGACAGCTTCTTCTGCAAGACACTCACAATTCCGAAAGTGATCGGAAATGATACTGGAGCCTACAAGTGCTTTTACCGGGACAGGGACTCGGCCTCGGTTGTTTATGTCTACGTTCAAGGTAAGTGGTTAAAAGGAATTCATTTCCCACGTTGATTTACCAGCTATAAAACACAATGGGTGCAAAGAAGAATTGAGTACAACAAAAGGTTTGCCCTAAAGGCTTTTTGCCAACAGGAATACAGAAAATTCTTCTTTCCCAAGGCTTCCCTCTGAGGATAAGACTCATTGATTTGTTCTGGAGTTTGGGCCCTGTTATATCTCTCTTGCCCAATTAGTTTCGTTCTGATCTTTGTTTTTGAGGGAAATCTGTGTCCACAATTGGCTATGGAGATTTATAAAAAGCCTTCTGATGTTTGAGGAAAAAAAAAAAAACCCTGAAATACTTGAAATGGAAGATTCAGCGTGAATTATGGAGAGATTTCTGTGGAGAGATAGGTTATCTAGGGCAGAGTAGGAGATTTTCCCAAGAATGCACAGGGAAACAGCCAAGGGCTCTGGAATTTTTTGTACATAGGAACTTTTCTTTTTCCTCTTATACTTTATAATAAACAATTCTCATACTCTGGTGCAAATGAAGACTGCCTCAAAGTGCCTTTTGAAGACAGTGTTTCTTTCCTTTGCTTGTGTGGTCTGAGATCTTGGATGATATGCCACATCTTTCTAGGATTTGCAATTTGGGATTGACGCCATGGAGGCCAACTTAACATTTACGTAGGATAAAATACAATAATATTACATGTATTTATAATATGAATTTATAATATGAATTATTATATGAATCAGATTTATAATATGAATTATTATTTCTTTTGTATTTCAAAAATTTTCTACTACCTGAATTTCCCTGTGAAAACCTGACTTAATTAATGAGACACCTATTATACAATTTAGGAAAATGTAAGTGTTGTATAGTATTTTGCTTGGATGGATTAAATATTTTTTCTCTATGAAGATGAGCTTTTTAGACATTTTATTTATACATTTATATACCTCTTTACATCTCAGAGGATTTGAGGCAGGTTAAGATGGCTTAGACTTTGTTCCAGAAGCATCTTTTATAGAATGGGAATTCAGTCAGCTTTGGGAAACACATTTGCATGTCTCCATTTACATATCAATTGTGCAATATGGTCAGTGCAACAGAAAAGTGGAGACCACATCAAAATAATGTATGTCACTCCTGGATTGCATAATATTTCAGAATTATTTTTGTCCGGGGTAAGCACAACCAAGATAGAATTCTGTGCCCTCCTCCTCCCCTCTACAGAATTTGAAAGAGACAAGGCTCAGATCTTCAAGAATTTCTGGCTCCTTTTGATCTGGCAGTCTTGGGAGACCAGGCTTTCTCAGAAGATTGCAAGGATTTCCTGCTTTCAGCCTGTCTGGAAATAGACTGCAAGATGAACCTCTCCCATAATATCTCGTTATTTCCTTCTCCCTGGAGTCAGGAAACCTGGAGACATGTGAAAATCCATTTCATGAGTTTCAGTAAATATTTTATTTTGAGAGGATGGGTGGTTGTTTAGGTTTCTTTTGTTTATTTCCTTTTTTGGGCTACTGAAATAGAATTGATTTACTGAATAACTTTAGTCTTACGTCAAGGGGTTAATTTAGCTTCCAAAGGCTTCTGTGAAGCAAGCAAAAGGCTTGCTCTATAAGCAAACTATGTAACATTTCCTAACGTATGATTGAAAGGTAGGTAATATTAAGGAATAGAAGGTCCCTGCACTGTTTATTTGTACACTGCCCATCATTGGGCATAGCATCAAATTCTGCTTCCTGTCTAAGAGGTGCTCTAAGATTTTGGTCATGAAACTTAACAGTAGGAAAGAAACACTAAAGTGTTCTCTAGGGACAGCCCTTTAATGTTCTCTTTGGTCCCCACCTTACTTCCCTAGTTTTCTGACCCCATTCCCTTTACCAATGGATGGAGCCAGGAAGTGGGTCCTGGCCTTGCAAGATAATGGCCATGGCATGTGGTGGGCTGGATTGGTTGCCTTTCTGCGCTTTCCAGCTTGGAAGGAAATCAAACTTCTACTGTTGCAAAGAATTAGCTGCCTTTCCCCCTTTTGGTTTAATTAACCCTTCCTTCACTTGGAGCAACCATCCTGAAGAGCTCTGAAAATGCTCAGTCAGGTGTGTTGGGCATAGCAATCTGGACCATTATCTCTCTGAGATTTCAAGCATGACCTCATACCACGTCAGTTCTATCTCTGGGGGATAGAGTAGTTTCCCAGCAGTGTATTAAAGTTGTTGAACAATGTTTGAAAGACATTAAACTCTCTTTTGTTTTCTTCTTTTTGCCATGGTGCTTTCTCAAGTTTTTGTCATCAAAGATATTAATGGCTGCTGAATCTTAAACTAAATGCAATAACTATTAAACATTATTTTATAAAGAATCTTATACTTAGTCTTCACAATTCTAAAATACTCACAAAAAACTTTCTCTGGAATAGTTGAATTCAAAGATTGTTAGTTAACGATAATTTTAAAGGTCCTTTGGGATTCATTAATTTATTTTCATGGCATTTACATTATTTGCCTAAAGAAAAAGAACATGAATTTTTTTAACATCGATAAAACTCAATAGATAAAGTGTACAGATTTAACTTTAAATTTACTTTAAAATTTATATATATGAAGAAATGTAGTATATGTGGAAAATGTATATGTGTATATGAAAATGTAAATGAAAAATGAAGAAGTATGCCCCTTCATTTTGAAAAAAATATAATGATTGACTTGCTTAAATGTGGTACCTACAAAATATACTCTATTATTAAAAAATATAAATACTTGACTTATTGATAATCTTGCAAAAGGAGTCACTTCCATTCTGGGAGTTTTCTTTCAGATTTTTTATATGCGCACGCTCGTGTACACACACAGAGACACATATACACACCTCCTGTAGCATTCTTGTAGCATATCTTTAGAGCCAGATATCTACCAGCAGATTGACGTGTGGATCCTTTTGCCTAGTGTGAAATGTCATTCTAAATCATTCATTTCTCTGGTCAGAGTTTAAGAACCTGAAAGATAACCAACTTTTCGAGTAAATGCCATTAACGAAATGGAATTAAATTTTCTTTTAGATTACAGATCTCCATTTATTGCTTCTGTTAGTGACCAACATGGAGTTGTGTACATCACAGAGAACAAAAACAAAACCGTGGTGATACCATGTCTTGGGTCCATTTCAAACCTCGATGTGTCACTTTGCGCAGTAAGTTATATCTTCAATCATCTCTTAAATCTTCCTAATTTTAAGCTAATAGTAAGATGAGTAGTCTGTTTAAAATATAACATCAACAATAAGATAAAGATCCTTTAGGAAGGGTCAAAATGACAATAAATAAAATCAATTTGTAGTCTTAAAAATATTAATTCTTTAGTGATCATTTTACATGGTTTCACTTTTGGATAGCAAATGATTAAATATTTGATATTTCTTTTTCTACCCAGAGGTATCCAGAAAAGAGGTTTGTTCCCGATGGTAACAGAATTTTCTGGGACAGCAAGAAGGGCTTTACTATTCCCAGCTACATGATCAGCTATGCTGGCATGGTCTTCTGTGAAGCAAAAATTAACGATGAAAGTTACCAGTCAATTATGTACATCGTTGCAGTTGTAGGTAAGAGGAAGTTCCTTTCTATATCATTGTTATCAGACAATAAAGATTGGCTTTCTATATTAAGATCCTGGAGATTAAGGTATAGGGTGAAGAACAAGGGATTTGAAAATACATTAATTCAAGATACGGCATTGGGCAACTCATTATATCTACTCTTCTATCAAATAAACCTATGTGCAATCAAGGTTTTCTGTTTTCTTGCCAAGACCAAGGATGAGAAAGAAGCATATTTTATGGAAAATTTAATGTTCAGAGTATTGCTGGCATGTATTCTTTTAATTATACCAATTTTATGGGAAGTTAAGCAGTTTACTAAAGCTGGCCCCATTAGCTATTGACATTGCAAATTTTACAGCTTTTCTATCTACTAGGCTACAACATCATTGAGATCCCCTCAGGTCTGCTTTGTAAATCTCCATAGGCCATTTGTCTGGGAGTTTCCGAGTATTGGTGAGGTTTTCAGGGAAAGATGGTGTGGCATATTTTTGAAAAAATTTGTGCCAAGTTATAGATTTGTTTTCCCCCTCATTTTCTGTGGTTTTTTTTTTTTTTTTCAATTTACTTGCTCTAGGGTACAAGATTTATGATGTGGTTCTGAGCCCTCCTCATGGAGTCGAGCTATCTGTCGGAGAGAAGCTTGTTTTAAATTGTACAGCAAGGACTGAACTAAATGTGGGGATTGACTTTACCTGGGAATACCCTTCTTCGGAGGTAACACTAACAAGTTAAAGCCAGATCTCTAAATGCTTTGATAATCAGCCTCCACAGAGTTTGCTTGAGAGAGATAGGGACCTTTCTAGCCAGATAAAAGTAAATGCCTTAACACACAGTAACACACACACACACACACACACACACACACACACACACACACACCTTTTAAGAGAATTGCAGAATTGATAGCATCCATGAAAAAAAAGATATAATGCCAGGAACTCTGTCCCACAGTACTAGAATCTGGCAACGAATATTAGTTTTCTCTGGGTGATTACATCTTCCCAGGTTGTATTATTTCTCTGTTCTCCAAAATCCTTGATCTATTTTCCTTTTAAGGGAGTTTCTCTTCAAGGAGGTGCATGAGACACACTTCTTAAACAGTAGTCCTATTTGCCTATATTCCTACAGTCCAATCCATCTCATTCCCGCCATGTGAGGTTTTAAAAATCCCAATTCACTTGGTTCCATTTATTTCTCCTGAAACCAAATGTATTTGTTGTCGACACGTGTTAAAAGTTCTGAAGTCTCTATTATTAGCATTAAATAGTGTTCATTGAGGGCCAAGACCTGTTGTTGTGGGTCTCTAGAAGCTAACAGGTAATGTTAAGCTGAAATTTGGAAGTTCAGTAAACTCTTTTTCAGCATCAGCATAAGAAACTTGTAAACCGGGACCTAAAAGCCCAGTCCGGGAGTGAGATGAAGAAATTTTTGAGCACCTTCACTGTAGATGCTGTAACCCGGAATGACCAGGGGTGGTACACCTGCGCAGCGTCCAGTGGGATGATGACCAGGAAGAACAGCACATTCGTCAGAGTCCATGGTAAGCTAAGATCTTTCAAATTATGCTGTGCTTTGAAAAGTGAGATGATTTAAATAAATTTGGGTTGGCTTGTGATTTCTGTTTTGTTTATTCAGAAGATATTTTTGAACTCTTGCTAGGGAGACCATATGACCTAGAGGTCTAGAGCACAGCTTTGGTCCAAATCCCAACTTTAATGATGAGAAGAGCCGATAGTATCACTAATGCTCACTAAATAGTACTTGTTGTATTTGATGTTGCTGCTATTACTATTACTACAAGTGGAGTGTTATTATCTAAGATAGTTTTAAAATTTTCATTTTTTTGCAAGGCTGAGAGTCCCACTGGAATCAGCATGGGCTTTGCAGTTGGAGATACCTGGATTTAATTACTTTCTTTGTGGCTTTAAACAAATAACTTAATTTTTCATTTATTCTCTTTCGCTCACATAAATGTCTCAGCTTAGATAATAATGTATGTGGCACCCAACTTATGAGCCTTGGTAAGGATTTTGAGTTTTATAATATGGGAATACATAGAAGAGTTTTGAACAGAGAGAGAGAGACATGTTCTAATGTATGCTTTTTATAGAATTATTATGATTTTTTTTTAACGTGGCATACTTTAGGAAAATAAGGGCAGAAGTAGGGAGAGCAGTTAGAAAGCTAACTGCAATAATCCTTGTGACAGATGGTGGGTAGCTTGGACAAAAGTGGTAGAGGAAAAAGTGGGAAGAAGTGATCTGATTTTCGATATATTTTTGATGATAGAGCCAATAAGATCTACCTATTGATTCATTGGCTGCGGAGTATAAGAGAAAAAGATTGGAAAATGACCTTTGAGTTTTTATCTTGAGCAGCTAAGTGAATAATGATTTGATTTACTGATATAGGGAAGATTGAGAGAGGAGTAAAATTAGGGGAGATAGGATTGGGTATGTTCATTTGGAGATGCCTATTAAACATCCAAAAGGAGATATTCAATCTATAAACCTGGAACTCCTATAAATTTAGGAGGATATAAATGGCACTTTATGCCTGAGACTAGAGGAAGGTGTAGATGGAGAAAAGATGTCTGATAACTGAGTTCTGGGGCACATGATGGGCTGTATATAGAATGTCATAGGAGCAGAGGAGGAGGAGCACCCAGGCATCCCTGGGGTACTTAGAGAAAGCTTTACAGAAGAGAAAACACTTGAATTGAGGTTTGAGCAATCAGTAGGCTTGTGGAGCGCACTGGAGAGAGAGAAAAGCAAGGTAGCATGGGGGATCTCTGAATTCAGACCTTGGGCCTTGGGCCTTTACTCTTCACAGAAAATGAAATAATAAACCAAACGACCACTTACGATAAGTTGACATTTATGAGAATAATAATTTTTATTTTCTTTCAGAAAAACCTTTTGTTGCTTTTGGTAGCGGCATGGAATCTTTGGTGGAAGCCACAGTGGGAGACCGTGTCAGAGTCCCTGTGAAATACCTTGGTTACCCTTCCCCGGAAATAAAATGGTAAGTCTTGGAAATAAATGCAAAACATTGTTTTACATGAAAGCGAATCCTCAGCTTGTACTAATTCCTGGGATTTTTTTTTCCTAGGTATAAAAATGGAAGACCCATTGAGTCCAATCATACAATTAAAGTGGGGCATGTACTGACTATTATGGAAGTGAGTGAAAAAGATACAGGAAATTACACTGTCATCCTTACCAATCCCATTTCAAAGGAGAAACAGAGCCATGTGGTATCTCTGGTTGTTAATGGTGAGTCCATGCAGTTTTCCTCCTCTGCCCAAAATTTATTATAAAGAATATGATTATGTCTTCCTAAACAGCCAGGTCACCATTCTTTTGTTGCCTGCTGATTGGCTCACATCATGAATGGGCTCCTATGTATGAAAATGGTCAGCAGAGTTGAAATGAGATGTAGAACAGTGTGCCCTGGACATGTTTGCTTACGAGACCATGGGAATGAACTCTTTGGTGGTCAAATGCAAAATAAAAGTAGATGTACCCTCGATGGCTAAATGCTGTGAAATAAGAATGCCTGTGGGGACAGTTAACAAGCTTAAGTTGCACTGCTTTTGTTCCTGTCTCATGGAATTACGCACCTGGCATGCAAATGTGTAAGACTCTTCTTGAATTTTGTGGGAAGCTTGTAGTTTGACTTTGTAATTTTTGTATCAGTTATGCCCAGGCAGGTTGGCACTGCTGGCTGGTTGGAAGCTTTTCAGTTTTTTAAAACAGGAGTCTAGGATCTGACTCTGAGGCTGTAAAGGGAAGATATTAAGTTTTTGATTTAAGGATGATTTGAACTTGGTTTTCCCAAATTGAAAGATATAAATAAGTGCTCTGGGTGGCGAAAACGGGTGTCATGGTCAAGTAACTCTGGGAGATGCTAAATTGATGTAGAACAGGTGTCTTTATTGCAGGACTTCTCAGGGCCTTTAGCATGCTAATGTATTTTGCCATTCTCCAGGGGGGAGGCATAGAGTATTTAAGGTTTAACAAACTTATTTGACCAGAGCATACTCCTCTTTAGTAAATTCATTAATATCTTAATCTAAAAACAGTTTGGGAAATGCTTCTCTGTTGTAATTCTTTGTTCTCCCTATTGGCATGGCATGTTAAAACTTCAGAATCTTCTCGCATGACATATATCTTCCTACTGCTCTGTCTGTTAAGATTGGCTTTATTTCTTTACTGGGGCAACAGCTTAAGGGAGTGTTTTAAAGATAACAGCTTCCAGAAATGTGGCTTAGAAGCCACTCAGGAGCAGAGGATTGAGGAGTGGAGAGAAGTTGGAAAGCTAATAAGTAAAGTGAGAAGAAGGAAATGAATAAGAAATAATGGTGTAAAGATGGACAGTGAATAACCCCATCTAATTAATTCATGAAGTCACTAAGCATTTAACTTACCCTAACAGTTACCCTGCTATATAAACTAAACATAAAAAGTCAAGTTTTGAAAGTATAATCTAAGGCTTTAGGTTGAAAGTGTTGAGAAAATAGTTTCACATTTATGACTTTGGAGCCAAAAAAGAAAGAAAAAAGAGAGAGAAGAAGGGAGAGAGGAGGGGAAGAAGGAAAAGGAGGAGGGAGAGGGAGGCGATAGAGAAGGAGGAGAGGCGAGTGACCTTGGGCAAGTCATTAATCTTTTCTATGTTTCATTTCTCATGCGTAAAATAGAGAGCAATAATAGCGGTTGTATGGATTAAGTGAATTAATTAATGTAAAGCACTTAGAACAATGCTCGTTACATAATAAATGTATTTCCTATATTATTCACGACTCTTTCCTTTCTGTTTTGCCCTTTTCTTGTGAGTTGATAGGACAAGGAGAACTATCCCTGTAATGTAGAGGAGAAAGACTGAGGCACAGGGTGGCGAGATTTGCACGGTCATTCAGTTTATTAGATTATTATTATTGTTGTTGTTGCTGTTATCATATCACTAGAAATCAGGTGTCCTGTTTCCAAGTCTAGATGTTCTTTGAAAAACCAAATGGGGGAAAAATCATCTGCATAGAAAAATGGAGGCTTTATTTGCTCAAATTTATACCTTCCATTCCTCAAAGCTGATTGACAATTTAAAAGTTGTTTTTCCCATGTCTAGTACCCCCGCAGATTGGCGAGAAATCTCTGATTTCTCCTGTGGACTCTTACAAGTACGGCACCACCCAAACGCTGACATGCACAGTTTATGCCATTCCTCCCCCGCGTTACGTCTACTGGTATTGGCAGCTGGAGGAAGAGTGCACCTACAACCCCACGTGAGTAGGGCCATACCCCCTTATCCTGTCATCTCGCATTTCTTACAGCCCAGCTCTGATATGACTCCATTCTAAGCTGAGATGGCTATCTCTAAGAAAGTTACCTCTCAGATGGTAGTCTTAGTTTCCATCCACCTTTCTCTGTGTCTGTTGTTTTAGGAGATGTCTTTCCTTGGGTGTCCTGCTAGCTAGCTCTCCCTTCTTAGGTTAGCCCTGATGTATAGCTTTACAAAGGCAGGCTCTTTGTTCACTTTGCTAATTGCCAGTCTTGGTTTTTCTTCTTATACCAATCAGTTGATGAATACCACATCTCTTCTTATCTGTGAGAAGTTTCATCTCAAGGAAGTGCTGCTGGATGCAAGGGATAGACCTAGCTGCAGCCCTCAGTCTCAGGCTCCGCTTATCAGGTTCTAACACAAGTCCAGACATCCTTAGGGAAAAAAAACAACAACAAGCCACCCACCACCACCCTAAGCAGTTCATTTCCTGTTGTTGTTTTTGAGATGGCCGCTACTAGTTTCTTCCTCAGATGCTGATCATTTCCTACACCAAGGCCATAGTCCCAGAGAGATTACTTTAAGAAGCCCAATGGCTTCTTAGTTTCCTTACCTTCCTTTGAACTAAATTAACTTGAATTGTCTTGTCGATCCAATTTATGAATGGAGGTTTGTTCCCAGAATAGCTGCTTCCCTCCTGTATCCTGAATGAATCTACCTAGAACCTCTTCCTTCATTGCTGAGGCCTATTTTTAATTGGCACCAAGTCTTGTTACATGGATTGAAAGTTATTCCTAAGAATATAACAACCAAATTCTGACTCCTTTCCTTACTATTGATTTGAACTGAGAAAAATTAAATCATAATATGATCTGTTATCTCTTTCTTATAGTCAAGCTGTCTTAATGACAAACCCATATACTTGTAAAGATTGGAGAAATGTGGAGGACTTCCAGGGGGGAAATAAAATTGAAGTCAACAAAAATCAATTTGCCCTAATTGAAGGAAAAAACAAAGTGAGTCTGAAGTTCTTTAATTTGAAAATTTGTCTCTCTTTCTCTCTTTTATGGAAGGATGGAAGGATGGCAGAGAAGCAGGGTTTAATAATGTGTAAAGGATATTGGAGATTGATAATCAAATAAATTCATGATAAAATACTTGCATATTAAGTTGGCTTGAAAACACCATTGACTTTTAGAAGCACCATTGACTTAACAGCTTAGAGAAAGATAAAACTCATGTGCTATTAAATCTATACATTTGTTGTAAGGTGATTCTGATTTTACAAATATGAAAATAAGAAAATGTGTTATATTAAAACACATGGTTTCCAAAACCCATTTGTGCAATGTGTGATCTACACCAGCATAATTATACCTGTATGAATTTGAGAGTGGTCAGTGCAGTAGTATGAACAGAGTAGGCAGGTTGTAGCAGTTGGGGATGGCTAAATTTTAGTCTGAATGCATGTGCATAAAACAGCCTCCATTATTTATGGCCTTGGATTTGTTTTTTTCACAGACTGTAAGTACTCTTGTTATCCAAGCAGCAAATGTGTCAGCTTTGTACAAATGTGAAGCGGTCAACAAAGCTGGGAGAGGCGAGAGGGTTATCTCCTTTCACGTAACCAGTAAGTACTGCTCTCCAAGGGGTGGGCTGGTCTTCTTGCCAAGTGGGTGCTAAGCTGTCTGTTGCTCTCTAGTTCTTGTCATTCCTGTGAGTGGCTTGGTGTTTAGGAAGAGGACTTGGATTGATAACTGATGCTTTTGTTCATAAATCAAAGTTCCTGGGCTCATGTGAAGTCACTGGAGACTTCACTGGAGAGAGAATGATTTCACACATGCTTTTTAATTACAAGTCATGCGTTATATGTATGTCTTCATCATCCGTGTCTAGCACAATGATTGGCTTATTGGGGTTCAGTCAATATTGGTGGGCTTGCTGCTGACCAGTTGGCAAGGTTGGGTCTTCCGGATGCAGTTATAATGATAGGAACAGTGCCCTCCCAATGCTGCTGATTGTGTCTTTTTATCTTAGTTTTATGGCTAAGCTTTAGCTGATTGGAGATTTGATAAATATCTGAAGAATTCATTTACATTTCCGAATAATATATTTTGGTAAAATAATACATGTTGGGACCTGAATCGTCCATTTTAGTTGTCTCCCTGTATTATATCGTCTGGGACTGTGGAGCTTCCCTTTTCTTGGTGCTTTATAGAAGTCTGAAGGCAACAAGAAGATGACAGTGCGCTGCCCAAGTTGAGTCACTATCTTCTAACCATGGATTTTACATTTTAGGGGGTCCTGAAATCACTGTGCAACCTGGTGGCCAGCCAACTGAGCAGGAGAGTGTGTCTTTGTGGTGCAGCGCAGACAGAACTACATTTGAGAACCTCACATGGTACAAACTTGGCCCACAGGCTGTGCCCACACCTGTTTGCAAGAACTTGGATGCTCTTTGGAAAATGAATGCTACCATGTTCTCTAATAGCACAAATGACATTCTGATCATGGAGCTCCAGAACACATCTTTGCAGGATCAAGGAGACTATGTCTGCTTTGCTCAGGACAGGAAGACCAAGAAAAGACATTGTGTGGTCACGCAGCTCACAATCCTAGGTAGGGAGGCAACTCTGGATCATTCAGAGGCCATTGGAATGCCTTAGATGTAGTGCTTTCAGGTGCTGAGTGAAGATTACTATCCTGAGCTTGTGAAGTTAACTGGTACATACTTGTCTTATTCACTGAAAGTCCTTGAGGCAGAAAGAAGCTAATAATGGTGAAGAGATACATTAAAAAGAGAAAATAGTATGGTTCTTTCCAACTCTGATAGTGGAATAACTTACTAGCATCTGCAAGGGATAAGCCTGAACCAGGGAAATTTCTGCCCTGTTCTTGGGCATTTATTTACTTAAACAAACACATATTTATTGAATGTCTAGTGTGCGCTAGGAGGTTATGAGAAGTGCACAGTGGTGAATAGGTAAACAAGATAAGAACACAGACAACCAATGGGAAGTCATAGTACAATAAGGTCTCTGTGTCCACGTGGACAGAAAATGTTTTCTGTTTTTCTCCGTGCTGTGCTCTAGTCATAGAACACGTGCTAGGTGCTCAGTGAGATATCTGCTGCATGAAGAGTATGACGGTGGGGTTGTTTAGGACCTATGAGAGCCCAGGGGAGGGGTGCTACATGTAATGCCTGTACTTCTGTATCATCTCATGTGGTCCAGCATAGTTCAAGGTCCATGAGATAATTTTAGTAAGCAGATAGCTTTGTAAACTCCCCATGAAGCCACTCTTTATACCTCATCTAACCTTGTGCTTCTCTGTCTCTGAGGAGATCAGGCAAATTTAGAAAGTTTCTCTTTGTGCCATTACCCTCCATTTTCTCCTGTCCTTTGTGTCCCTTCCAAGCTTCTAGAGAAGCATGTGTTCTGTTTTTTATTGTTAGGAAGGGGAACTGCCAAGATAAACTATACCAAATTTTTGAGGATAATATCTTCAGAGGCCTTGGCATATTTTAAGAGTTATCTTCAGATAAACATTAGGATAGATTTTGCTAGTATAAGACTTAGGTATGAAAAGAAGAGATATTTTTGGGGTGAAGTCATCCCAGGGCTCTTCAAATCACACCACATATATGATCATGTTTTCTGTTCACCTTGGTGACTGGTCTTGTTTCAAGTCAATGGAAGAACTCAGAAAGAGATGTGAGGGAAGCTCCTAGCCTTGTTTGCTTCCCTAAGGTCTCCCGAGTTGTTTCCCCAAAATTATTCTTAGAAATAGACTAGAGTCCAGGACCATTTGTTTAAACTTCAGTGTAGTTGACCATTCAGGTAATCTCATTTTGCTAAGTAATTCTTTCAGGAAGATTCCTTTTGATATTCAATTGGTTTGGACAAGATATTTCTACAGCACTTTGATGAGTTACAGGAAAAGAATAAATCTGAAGTTTTGCTGTACAGGCAAACAAATACCCAAGGGCTTCATTTTCTTTAAATCTTTGACTTTCCTTAGGATATTGTTGTTTTTTTCATGTGTGTTTTAGTGGAAATAGCATTGGACTGGTCTCTTAGGCTCACACGATTCTATTAGTTCACCTGGTTAGAGAGTTATAGGGACTTGGGCATATTGTTTAACCCCCTGAAATGCAGTTATTTCATTGGTAAAATAAGGCAAGCACTCCTGCCCTGTCCATCATAGAACTGATAGTGAGTGACAGAAATAGTACAAATGAGTTTTATAAAAAGTACCAAAAAAATTAAAGTGTTCTTTGCTGAATTACACTGAGGTTTTGGACTTTCCAAGAGAAACATGGCAAAATTCTAGGGTGTCACTGGCTAGAACGTTCATGGGAGGGAAACTATATCTGGTTAGAGGAAAAAGCCATAAAGATGACAACCTTTATTTTGTGATGTAATTATCAGTTTGAATCACTAATATGAATGTTCAAAGAGATGCAGTAGTCTGTCTAAACTGTCCTGACTTACTAGTTTCATTTCATTTACTCAGTGACCAGTGGTACTATTATTGACCCTGGGTGTTTTCAGCTTAGTAAATCAACAGTGTACTGTTTACTAAGTTTAAATGGTTTAATAATTTACTGATACTCAAAGAATTTCAAAAGTTATATCTAAATGTTCTATTTTCTTTTTGTGTGCATAGAACGCATGGCACCAAGGATGACAGGAAACCTGGAGAACCTGACGACAAGTATTGGCGAAACCATTGAAGTTTCATGTACAGCGTCTGGGAATCCCCTTCCACGGATATCATGGTTTAAAGATAATGAGACACTTGTGGAAGACTCAGGTGAATGAACATGCCTATCTCTCTTTGGTTGCAGAATTTTCCTGGAGATGTTGTCTAAAATCTATATTATTTCTTGATTTGCCTTAGGTAGAAAAAAATAGCAATCTCAGTGTTCATGGTCTGGCTCATTTCATAGACTCAGAATCAGACAGAGTATTCAAACTTGTTGAATTCTCATGACAGCCAGGGGTGATGAGTCAGCAGTAGATCTTATATAACCCTTTAGAGTTGAATAATAGCCCAAATAAAGTGCAACATTTATATTTTAATATTTTCTTTTTCCTGAAAAGCTCTTCCAGACCACATCCTAAATAAAAATTTTATTCCTTTCTCAGGCATCATACTGAAAGATGGGAACCAGAACCTAACTATCCCTAGGGTGAGGAAGGAGGATGAAGGTCTCTACACCTGCCAAGCATGCAGTGTTCTTGGGTGTGCGAAAGTGGAAGCATTTTTCATAGTAGAAGGTCAGTGGGACTTCAAAGACACATCAGATGATTTTTAAGATTAGCATGTATTTTATATATATTCATATATTTTGGGTGGAAGATTATAGGTGATTTTTAATATTCTTTGTACTTTGTAAATTTTCTACTATAAGTATATATTATTGTAACCAGAAAACATAATTATTGTTATTTTAATTCTGATTGCATCACATTTCTGTCCCCATAGTTTTCATTGTGGAAAAATTCGTAGCCAGGCAGGCAGAATATGCTCCTTTCCCTGATTTTTTCATTTGAATGGCTCAATTAACTTGACATGGAATATTACTTCTATATTTATTTGGAAAAACATTAGAATTACTGCCTAGTTCTGAAAATCAGTATTATCCAGATAGTCACAAAGGTTCATAGTTTTCATTGGACTAAAGATATAGTTCATTTGTGAAAATAGACCATTGCTTCTCTGAAATGGAAAATTGGGGGTTTTTATCTAAACATAAAAGGAAACTTGTATGCATATGTAGGAATGATGTGAAATCTGGCATTTTCTCAGATGGGAAAGATAATTTTTGACAAAATATTTTATCTTCAGAAGTGTATTCTTATGTCTTTTTAAAAAATAACCCATCAAGGGGACAGTGGAAGTGTATTACATGGGTGAAGGAATGGTGTGCAAGGGGAAGAAAGAAGGATGGTGACAGATGGAGGAACTGACAGATTTCTATGAACTCATCCTAACTTGTCTCTCAAAGCCTAGATTGTAGTTCCTTTAATCTGTCAAATCTCTGTTGCCAAGTATTGCATCTTAATACCTTGACTTGTTTTCAAATCTGTAGGCTTATTACCATTTCACAAACTCCACTTGCAAATAAAGATTTCAAGTGCTTGAAATAAAGATTTCAAATGATGTGGTGGTTCGGCCACTGCTGAAGAGCTTCATGTCTTAGAGCAAATCCTAAGGCAGACTTTCAGTGCTGTCCTGTGCTCTGCCTCACCTCTTTTAGCTGTCTGTGGCTTGTTACTGATATCCAACTAGATAACACTGGCACAGGGATTATATTTACTTCTCACCCGAAGAGAATACTAAGAAAAGAAGTGGTAAATTGTAATTTTCCTGCTAAGTTCCCAGATGTTATTATGGGACTATTAATACACAAACTTATATAGACAATTGAATCTTTGAACTTTTTACTTTGTGTACGTGGACTTTTAAATGTCTATGTATAAGTAGAGAATTACTTCAGTAAGACCACCAGAGAAATAAAATCTACTTCCAAGTATCCTTGGTGCTTGTCTCTTAACTGTTAACTCTTATTTTGCTAACTAATTGATTACTTGTCTTTCTGTCTTTTTGAGGCTGCCATGGGTGGGCCACTCGCGCTTGTAGCCGGGTTTGGTTCACACTACCCTCATCCAGTGGGGACCCTAAGTGATAATCGCTTCCTTATCACCCATTTGCTAATCACTCTTAGTGGAAAGCCTCCTCTGGGCTTAATTTCTCCACTCAGAGCTGTCCTCTGGAGCCCTGAGCTTCTGCAGCTTTCCTTGTTGACCTCTAGCCTTTTCTCTTCTATTTCCTTTCGTGAGTGGTTTTAAACTCATATTGCCAGGCCATGCAGCATGCACTCATTTTGGCTCTCTCTTTTCCCCACTCAGGCTCCTGACACACAAGGACAAGGTGGTATAATGGTTAACTGGTATTGGATAGACTTTGTTTAACTCTTGACCATTCCACCAATTTGCTGTGTGTCCTTGATGAAGTAGCTTAACCTCTATAAACTTGTTTCTCCATCTGAAAACTGAAAGTTATTGAGAAGATTAAGTGAGATGACATATTGAAAGCGATGATCACCTAGTAGGTGTGTGGTCATCAATAGCTCTCTGGCCAAAGGACTACATTTATTTCCCTACTTAGTTTCTTAAATGATCCTTTCTGAAACTCTATACAGATCAAAACATAGACCATCAGTGTGAAACCAAATTTCTTTTTCTCTAAATGAAAACACTTCTCTATAGAAATTGATCTGTTTTCTTTCCATCAAAGTCAGTTCTTCTTCCAAACACTTTCTATGCTTGTCTTTGAAGACATTAATATTTTTATATTTAATTATTTTAGAATTTTGTTGTTGGATGTTTTCATGAGCAACATTTTACAAACTTTAAATTATCCATTAAGAATAGTAAAAGACTCCGTCCAAGTTAGAAGTTTGCGACTATTATTGTTTAGGATTTTTTCCATGTCGGTAAGCTTGAGATCTTCCTTTAGCATTGCACTTTGTCATCTAATATCAAAGGCGTTTCCAACTGCTGATGCCCATTCAATTGTGTATTTCCAGGTGCCCAGGAGAAGACGAACTTGGAAGTCATTATTCTAGTAGGCACTGCAGTGATTGCCATGTTCTTCTGGCTACTTCTCGTCATCATTCTACGGACCGTTAAACGGGTAACAAAATAATTTCTCATCCATCCAATGCACATTGGTTTTCATGATTGATGAAAGCTGACTGGGGCTCTTTGAGTTGTTTCTTCTCATTGTTATTGGCTCAATGGGCACAATTTATTTCAATACAATAACATTCTTGCCCACTTTCTTTTGGCTGAAACACTGGGCTTTAATTAATAGAAGCCACTAGGAGAGAAAAGGTTTAGACTGTCTAGTGTAATTAAGATTTAAGACTTTAATTCTGTGCTTATTTAGGAGTTGAGAGGACACTAGAAACAGGATTATAATAGAACTACTCTCACACTCCATGAGTTTATTTGAAAAAGAGACATCAGGAATGGGGCTGCCATCAAAACAATAACAAGCACACAAAACAACAGCCAAACAGAGTGTGTATGAGTTAAAGGAGTATTGCTTTCTAGGCCAATGGAGGGGAACTGAAGACAGGCTACTTGTCCATTGTCATGGACCCAGATGAACTCCCCTTGGATGAACACTGTGAACGCCTGCCTTATGATGCCAGCAAATGGGAATTCCCCAGAGACCGGCTGAAACTAGGTGTGTTTTCAAGTAATATTAATTTGATATTAGGTTTACCAGGCCATCTCGTCTTCTTTTAAGATGATGACCAATCTAGTCTATTCAAATGTTGGGTTCTGGTTCAGCAATATTCATTCCATCTCTTGAATTGGAGTAATCACCCTTTGGTCGTTTAGATGTAAGGTCCCTTGTAATCATCCAAAGTAGGACATTTGGAAAGTGAAGGGGGAGGTATTAAATAACTAAGCTAGGACAAGAAGGTAAACTATACTGTTCATACTAAACTGGGATGTGTGGTCACCCTACCTAGCTGGAATCTCTGCAAATCACTTTGGTGGTGTCATAGTCCAAGTCTGTTTTGTTGCTGCTGTCATTGCTCACTGTAGGTAAGCCTCTTGGCCGTGGTGCCTTTGGCCAAGTGATTGAAGCAGATGCCTTTGGAATCGACAAGACAGCAACTTGCAAGACAGTGGCTGTCAAAATGTTGAAAGGTAAAGCAAAATTATATGGTGATGTATTCCTCTATCTGTTTCATCTAGTCTTTAAAAATGATGAAAGACTTTTATCAGCGGCTTTGCTGTTAGGAAGGCCCACTAACCAGCATGTAGTCAGCGTATATACCTTTATGCAAATTGGAAAATAGTTCCTCTTTTATAGCCTCATGCCCGAGTGCACAGCCAGGCAGGCAAAGTCAGGGATGAGTTTAAGCCCACCTTGCCTGGGAGTCCTTATGCAAGGCACAGCTTGCACAACTGTACTTTGTGGCCTGGCTATAGGAAAAAAATATTTTGGTTATATAAAATTTTTAAAAATATATTATAGTGTGATAGTAAGATAATTATAGACTGTCTGGAAACATGAAAAAAAATTTGGCATAATAAATCAAAAACAGTAGAATACAAAAATAGCATGTTCCCTAGGATTGAAATATATAAAGATTTCACATATGAAAGAAAAAATGCAAAATAAAAAGAGTTGTGCTGGGAATAAGGGATTATGGGTGATAGTTAAAAAATTAAAAGCTTTATAACCAACTGCTAATCCTAATAGTAATGAAATTCTGGTCTTGTCATTTTAATTTGGGGGAGCTGATGAGCATAAAGCTCTTTGCTCCGGTTGTAAAGTGCTTTCATTGATGAAGACGATGCCACTTACCCTTTGCCAACAGGTCTTGTGCATTTGAAAGCCATCTCTGGTTTTTGGCCTGTTCTCCCTAGTGGCCAAGGGGATATGTAATTTTGAGGTGCCTCATCAGGACCTGAGGTGTGGACTGTGTGAATTAGAGGGAAGTATACCGGTCTGTACTGGATCAAACTCACAGTCTTAGTCTCATCAGTCTCTTGTGCCAGCTGGCCCTTGTTAAGTTTCCTTTTCAGCACTGATTAGTGGGAACTTCAGCATAGCCCCTAACACATGAGGATATTTAATACAAAGTGTTGCTTCCTTATGAGGAAGCACTGAAATAATCAGGCCCTAAGAAACGTAGTAAACCTGATATATGAAAATCCCCTTTATTTTTGTGAAAGAAGAAAGTCCGGGCATGATTCAATTTGAGGATGTATTCTCCACTTTGCAAAAGACTTCACAATGGATTCTTTTAAATATCAAACATTCCGAGTGCACTTAAAGTAGGAGTTTGATTTAGAATTAGAAAATATAATTTATATTTGACTTTTAGGAGAATACACCTACTCTGAAATTGGGCTACAGTTATATTTTCTCTGGAGGGCAAGTTGCACAGATACATCAATCTATCTAAGGTAATGCCCACGTTTATGATTTCCCTCTTTTCCCTGTATTTGTAGAAGGAGCAACACACAGTGAACATCGAGCCCTCATGTCTGAACTCAAGATCCTCATTCACATTGGCCACCATCTCAATGTGGTCAACCTTCTAGGTGCCTGTACCAAGCCAGGAGGTGAGTACCTGTGGTTGGTTCTGATTGCATTCGCTTCTCAGCTGGTATTTGAGGGAAACCGCTTACCTCTTGTTCTTGTGGCCTTGATTTCCTTAACTTAGGATACTTTGCCAGATTCCAAGAAATCAATACATTTCATGGAGATTAAATGGCATTATAAATTATTCTAGAACTTCCTGTGAATTAAAAAATGTCACATTACTATAATACAGTTTGCTACTTGTGTAATAGGTGTTCAGATGAGAAAAGTAAACTTCCCAAAAAACTTGAAAGCAAAGGACCCTTACAGTAGTTATCCCTGAAATGGCATCCTCTTAGGTGATTATGTTGAAAAGCAAGTAGGTTGGTTTTCTTTTTAAATTTTGTCAATCTTATGGAATTGCCTTTTGGAAAAAGAAAAGTTCCAATATCAGGGAATTGTGACCAGCTGATTTCTATGATCCTGTCTCCAGTGAAAGGTTGTGGCCTCTTCTGTGATAATCTCTGGTTTAAAAACATATTAACTTTAGTGAGAAACATGAGTGATAACTATTTTTTTTTTTTGACATAATGTGCTGTCTGCAGGGCCACTCATGGTGATTGTGGAATTCTGCAAGTTTGGAAACCTATCAACTTACTTGAGGAGCAAGAGAAATGAATTTGTCCCCTACAAGGTATGTCATTTCTTAACTCAGCTCTGATCACATTGTGAAATGGAGGAAAACTCAAAGTGATACAGGTTAATTTTTTTGTTAAAGTTCTGTGAAGAACTCGTAAAGAATCTTCTCATGTTACCTCTTGGCTGTCATAACTTCCTCTTTTACCTTCTGGGAGACACGTGCTTTTCATGTTTTATTTTTGTAACTTTAATCTACTTACCCATTATAAATGGTGCCTGAGGAGGAGAGAGAAGGATGGAGTGATTAAGGGAAGGCCAGAGAGAAGGAAAACCTTGGATTATTCTCTCTCTCCCCTAATCCCGTTTGGCCCTGTAAAGTGTAAATTACTCTGTAAAGAGCACCGTACTGTTGAAAGTGTGTCTGAGTGAAACTTGAAACAAGGCATTATCTACTGAAGCTAATGAAGGAGCTAGGCTTTATGGAATAAAATTTATTATGTAGAACACTCGTCCAAAATTTCAGCTCAGAGACTGCCTAATCCTGATGCTGATGTCCTTTTAGTCTGATTTTTAATAGTTACACTTACTTTTAAAGTTTACTAAATTTTAGAGATCTCTTTTGTATTCAAGGAGTTTGTTGGTTCATATGTTTCTTTGTAGACCAAAGGGGCACGGTTCCGTCCAGGGAAAGAATACGTTGGAGAAATTACCGTGGATCCTAAACGCCGCTTGGACAGTATCACCAGTAGCCAGAGCTCAGCCAGCTCTGGATTTGTTGAGGAGAAATCTCTCAGTGATGTGGAGGAGGAAGAAGGTACCTGCTATGAATGCCCTTGTAGGAACAGACAAGGTGACAGAGTGTTAAGATGAATTTTGCTGTGAGAAATGTCTGACACTACCTAATATTTGAAAGACTTGAATTTCTAGACTACTTTCATTCAGTCTCCCCCAAAGTGAAGTGTGGGTACTCCAAACAAGCAGCAGGCTAGGCTGTAAAGCAAAGTATGTCTAGCCTGAGAAATCTCAGTACCCCAGAGTTGCTAAGTAGTAGGCAACTATCAAACAAATGCCCTTAAAATATTGGTCAGCATATATTATCAGGAGAGGCCCAGCACTATGCTCCAGAAAGGAAAAGGAGGCTCTTTGGTGGCTAATTAGCCTCCCCATTGCCCTAAGCATTGCTTACCTCACCAGCACAACAGAAGTGTTTTAATTAATCATACCCAGCCTTCTCCAAAGCAATGTAGGGGCCACCTGTTGTTTCTACCTTACCCCAGTGGCTTATCAAGTCTTCTTTCCAACTATACTTCATCAAAGGAGTCTTGGCAAATATACTTTTCTTCATCCAGTTATACTTCCAGTGATATTTTAGGGCTCCATCTGAGTGTAGCTGTGTTCTCAGCCTAACTTCTAGAACTACTTCTGGCTCCAGGATATACTATCTACTTCCATCAGAAGGAGCAGAGAGAGCTCCATGGATATAGAGATGGAGCTTCCTGACATCTAGGTCCTCTTGAGGCATGAGCTTAGAAGAATCTAACCATGAAATGGTAGAAGAAACTCTCTTCTATTTCTCTTGACATGAGGCCATAGATAGTACTGAAACCTGCCTTCTTTCCCTTAGAAGCCAAGCAGCCAGTGTGAGGCTGGAACGTGGTCTAGAAGAGTATGGGGTGGTTGTGTAGACCTCACATAACTGGATTCACACGGAGTGGAGCCATCTGCTCCATCCTTCTTTCTCACAATATGGTGGCCAGGGAACTGGACACGCAAGGGATTGAGGTAGTAAGCTGGAGTAGAAAGGATGTTGGCCTACAATTTTGCCTACATTTCTTCATTTGGAAAACAAAGGGGTTTTGCTGATTATTCACTGAGGGCTCTCTAGCCCTAAGCATAAGAAATCATTAAGAAAACAGTTCGAGCCTTTTTAATACTTACAAGGTTATTACAACTGAGTCTTCATTTACTTTGGTATTCGTCTCCAGGAAAGAAGCCATCTCTTATCTGACTAAAATTTAAGAGATCATGCTGAAAAACCCATTAATGCCTTGGTATTTGTTTGTGTCAGTTGCATGAAAGTAAATACCATTGATTTACTAAATTCATCTTTCTCTCCATGTTCCTGTCATCTCTCATTCATATCCTTGAAGGAAAAAAGCATTCTCACAGGCCAGATTTAATGTGTTTACAGTACTTTCTCAATTCAAAAGTGAGAGAAGTAAATATATTTCTGGTATTTTTAGTTATCTGTTATAGATAATATTTTGACCTTTGGCCTTTGTCCCAGGACAAAGCCTGGAGAGAACAGATACAATAACCCTGAATACTGTTGTTTTATTTTTAGAGTTCTTGATATGAAACTATTGTTTATCCCTTTGGGTACATGAAAAAAACAACAGTTTTAAACAGCAAATTTGAAAAAGTCCTCTTCCACTTTATTACCTGTGCCAATTTTACCTCCATTCTGCCTTCTGGATTTGCTGGTTCAATTTGGCTGAAATAGAAAAACCAATATTTTTGCTAACGGGAATGATGAAGGCTAATAATACTGGAATTCAGCAAATTTACAGAAGATAGAGGCATTTTCTTTCTGATTCTATTTCATGAAATTTTAACTCCCAAGTTATAAAATGAAGATTACTCTAACAAACTTATAGACAAATAGTTTCTAGTGGAAATACTGATCTCTGTCCTCCTGCACCTTCTGACAGTTTCTGAAGATCTGTATAAGAACTTTCTGACCTTGGAGCATCTCATCTGTTACAGCTTCCAAGTGGCCAAGGGCATGGAGTTTTTGGCATCACGGAAGGTAAAACAGCTCAAAGGGAAGCCACATATCTCTTCAAATCACAGATTTGGAAATAAGATGTCCGGTGCCAGGCACTGGTGTTTGTTGGGGACTATAATTCATTCACTACTTCCAGGACTATTAAAAGAGCTCTGTAAGGGAGGTTCCGATTATGTTAATTAAGGGGGTGTAAGGATTAGAATTTCATGAAATTAATTCATGTGATAAATACTTATTGAGCATTTACTAAGAGCAGGCAGTCTTCTAAGCAGTAACGATACTGTGTGAACGAACAAGCAAAACTCTCCAGCTTTATGGAGTTCACATCCTGGTGGACGGAGCAAACAGTAAATAATATCAACAAGTAAAATACATAGGAGGTGAGATGGAAGTAAGAGCTATGGGGAAAATGAGCAGGGAAGGGTTATAGAATATATAGGAATGGTATGTTTGTCACATGCATATGCTCCTGTGTTTGTGTATGTCGATTTTAAATTTTAAACAAAATGGACAAGGAAGGCTTTATAAGAATGTAACATTTGAGCAATGACCTGGAAGAGGTGAGGGACTGAGCCTTGTAAGAGAGTCTATTTTTAATTTATTTTACATTTATCACGATCTATCAAAAAGTATTTGTTAGTAGTATAATTAGAAGCCAGGAAGGACAGGCTTCAGATGAGAGCGATTAAAAGAGCTAAAATTAGAAAAATAGGCCAAACAAAGGCTGAGGTGGGGACATGACAAGTTACAAATATTCCAAAGATTGTAAACACTATTGAGGGAGCGAGGTTGGTTGAAGTCACCTTTCTGGAAAGGATATAATGGATGATTTGACATTAAATAAGAAAAAATCAAATTAAGTTTAAAGAAAAAGTATCTGTTGACAAAATGCATTTGCTGCAGCCTACGGAAGGAAGAAAGACTGAAAGTTTGTTTGGCTTTTTTTGATTTTTAAAGTAGACTGAAATCCCTAACCCAGTTTATTTTCCTGAAATTAAAACTCATCAGTTTCATAGTTTTAGGATCTTGGATGTTCCTGTGGGAGCTCTTGTCCTCTCTTCCACAGGCAAAGGAGAGAAGTAGGGTCTTACAGGATTTTCCCAAAGAGAAAGGCCCTTGGCTCTTCTTGAAGATTCTGATTTTTTCAAGTATTTTTTTTTAAGGCCAGGGCCTGCCATTTAGTCAGGGTTCCTTTCGGTGACTAGGAATGGAATGGGGATGGGGGAAGATCCTTCGACTTCTCTTTAATCTACTAACTGATTTCTTGAATACCACCTGGTTGTTGGGCTGAAAAAGGAAGCTCTTAGGTTGGGAAGGAGGTAGGAAAGGCTGGCTGTTTTTTGGAATCTCCTGTCTTGCTCAGCCATGCTAGACAATGTGCTTTTGAATATGCCTCATTGAAGGAAAGAGCTACACAGATGCAAAGTGTGAGATGGTCAGTAATGCTCAGCTCACACGATCACTTCTACAATGACGTAAGAATTCTCATCTAAACCTTTCATTCATTTCTCAATGTTCCTGAGACTCCTATTCTCTCACAAATCTACCAGGTGGAGCTAAAGCTGCTCAGTAATATGAAGTTAGATGAAGTTGGGGAATATAGAGAAGGAAGAAACTGGGGAGCAGAAAAAAAATAGAAAGAAAGCCAAGGAGAATTGATTTCCCTTTTTAGTGTGCCAGAGAATCACCTTGACTAGCGAGAAGCTGAAATTGCTTTGCAAACAGGATGAGCCCCACTGCGAATTGTTTATCAGGGCCAGTCCAGCTATGTATGGCATGGGGAAACCAACAAAGGGCACCAAACCAGTGAGAGCCCCTTGTTTCTGATTTCCGTGCATTCATTCAAAATAAATCCCATTCTAGGGCCTCCCTTAGAATAACATGTTTTAACCGTATATGGAGCCAGGCAAAAGGGATGTGTGGATGTGACTAGAAACACATTCTTAATTGTATCCAAGAGAAGTCTATTTATGACTCCCTCATCATACTATAACTTAATGTAACTCCAAAGTCTGAGGCTGTTTATGGAATAAGCAGATGTGTGTCTCAATGAAACTCAGACTTTTTTCCTGAAGTGTTGATAAAAGATATTAACCCGGTGCTTGTTAATCAGTTGGTTTTCTGATGTGGGTTTTTTTTGGTTTTTTGTTTTTTTTTAAGCATGAGGTCACAACAGATGTAGAAAAGATCAGCTGTGCCGAGACCTAATGCATACATGATTCTTTTTTCAGTGTATCCACAGGGACCTGGCAGCACGAAATATCCTCTTGTCAGAGAAGAACGTGGTTAAAATCTGTGACTTTGGCTTGGCCCGGGACATTTATAAAGACCCAGACTATGTCAGAAAAGGAGATGTAAGTTTCAAAGATGAATCCAGTGGTCTATTAAGTTGCAGAATTCAGACTCCTCTTAGTACACTTCAGGACCTGTGTTCAGGAGTAAAGGAAGTGTTTTTCTTCAGATATTTGCTAAGTCAGGTTCTGATTACTTGTCTTCTATCCTCTTAGGCACGCCTCCCTTTGAAATGGATGGCCCCAGAAACAATTTTTGACAGAGTGTACACAATTCAGAGTGATGTGTGGTCTTTTGGTGTCTTGCTCTGGGAAATATTTTCCTTAGGTAAGTCTCCTCTTGGTCTCTCCACCCAGACTTCAAGTAGAATGATAAAAGTCAGTGGCCCCAATAAAACTTTTTCTCTCTTGTATTCAACCTTTATTGAGTGAAACTTGTTTGGAAGGTTTGGATTATAAAATCTAAACAACAGAAAGTAGGAAAAGATATATAGATGATGGGATGTTAAAAAATCAGGCCATCATGGTTTTCTATAAGAGAAAATCGAATTGAATAATATCCCATTCCTGTTTTTCTTCTAGGTGCTTCTCCATATCCTGGAGTAAAGATTGATGAGGAATTTTGTAGGCGATTGAAAGAAGGAACTAGAATGAGGGCTCCTGATTATACCACACCAGAAATGTAAGGCTTTAATAATATCTTTGTATTCTCTTTCTTTGCTCACAAAATTCTCCCTGCTTAGAGACTTGGCATTATATACACCTTCTTTGTGGCCTAGTTTGTGTCCTTCTTCTCCCTTACAGTCCTTCTTTGATAATCTCAAGCACAGAGTCATCTCTTCTTCTTGAAATGACATCGTTTTATCTATACCAACCAATTACTTTTTATTAGTTGTTGATTTATAATTTTCTATTCTGTACACACTTGATGCTCCAAGGGGAGCATCAAGTGTCTAATGTTTCCCTGTTTAGCATCTTGGTTCATGGTAGACTCTTCGTAAGTATTTACTCATTCAAGTGCTTATTTTCAGCATCAGATCAGGAGGAAAGAGGTTGTGAATGACATCAGTGTTTTGCTTCTCTAGGTACCAGACCATGCTTGACTGCTGGCATGGGGAGCCCAATCAGAGACCCACGTTTTCAGAATTGGTAGAACATCTGGGAAATCTGTTACAAGCTAATGCTCAGCAGGTTTGTGAATTCCATCCAAGAAGCTTCCATAAAGAGCACTTAGGTGTCAAGGGCTCCTCTACTGCCTAGATCTTCTCATGGTGACCATATTATCCTCTCAACCAATGAATAAGGAGCCATATTTTTCTAGATCTGAGCAGTAATGATTTTCTAAAAGCTGTAATTATCTTTCTAGACAGACGAGATCTTAATTAATAACCTGGTCGTATACCACTCTTATTATTATGAATGTACCTTTTTGTTAAGTCTTTGATGCTCCTCTAAAGTAAAAATAATAACAACAAAGTAGTTGATCCACAGAATATCAACAAGAGATGGAATTTCAAGGAATTTTTAATACATTCTGCAGGCAAAAATGTATCAGAACCCTCTCTGCAAAATAGATGGCTTTTTTTTTTCTTTTTGGTAAAATTCCAGGCCTTCATAACTTCCATAGGAGAAATTTAGACTTGTAGCCTTTACCACTAGAAAGTTATTTAATCTCCACTCAACGCCTCTTACTATAGTGAATGGAAACCAATTTCCTCCTGCCTTTCTTTTGAACATCTGGGGGACAATGGGTCAAATCTGTTTTTATCATAATCCTTCCAAACATTTAAAGGTATCATGTTGCCCTTTATTTCTTTCTTTTGATAAAATAATGTTAAGTTGTGCAACCTTTTTTAGAAGACCTATTTTCCTGCACATTTATTGCCTTTCTCTAGACTGTCATCAGTTTTTCCATTGCCTTGAAATGTAAAGGTTAAAATTGGATGATATGTCCTTTAAAGGGCCTGGCTTGTGTAGACAGGGCTTTGTGAAGAGATGATTTCTGGGCTCTGTGGAGTTTCATGTGTTCTGTTGCTGTGACTGTGATCACAGCCTGCTTTGTCTCATTATAGCCACAGTGCTCTGTGTCCCCTACCCCTATCTTGTTATTCATGAACTTCTTTATTACACTTTAATGTACACACACCTTTTGAGTGCTCTTTTGTTTTTGACAAGCCATTTTTAATGTTATCTTAAAGTTTTACATTCAGGCATGAAGGCAACACACCCCATAACCAAGAAGCCCCCCTTGGTCTTTGTTTTTCATGGAAAGGCCCTTGAAGGACTGAAGCCATAACAATTGCACCATGTTTATTGCTTTAGGATGGCAAAGACTACATCGTTCTTCCTATATCGGAGACTTTGAGCATGGAGGAGGATTCTGGACTCTCTCTGCCTACCTCACCTGTTTCCTGTATGGAGGAAGAGGAAACATGTGACTAAGTTCCAT